GCCTGTGTGCAGGTGTGCACTGACATTGCCTGTGTGAGTGTGCACTGACATTGACACTGCCTGTGTGCAGGTGTGCACTGACATTGCCTGTGTGCAGGTGTGCACTGACATTGCCTGTGTGAGTGTGCACTGACATTGACACTGCCTGTGTGCAGGTGTGCACTGACATTGCCTGTGTGCAGGTGTGCAGGAGCGTGTGTGGGTGTGCCCCTCTGTGCACAAGTGCTCCCTGGGGTGTGCTCTCAGGGGTGGGTGTGTGTGCACGGGTGTGCACCGGCCCGTGGGGAGGAGCTGGGGCCGCATGGGCCCTCCCTGACCCTTCGAGGTGATTTTCTTGGTGCCAGTGCAGGTGAATGGGCTCCCACCACCAGGAGCAGTGCCTGGGAGCACGGGATTCGGAGGGAGAACCACGGGGCTGTGCCAAGGACATTCAATTCCCAGCACCCCAGCCCTGTGCTGGTCCTTGTTCGGTCAGGGTGGCGGGTCCTGCAGTGTGGGGGCTTGGGGCACCCCAGAGCACGCTGGCTTTGTCCCCAGGAAGAATGTGGCAGCACAGCTGGGAGCAGCCATGGGGCTGAGGGACCCACAAGGACCCCCCAGCAATTAACCTGGGGGACTCCACGGGGTGGTGAAGGCTGAGGGTTCTGGGGGTGATGGACTGGGTGCTACCACCCCACCCAAGCTGGGGCTAGAGCTGGGGGGCCCTGGGGTGTGGACATAGGGGATCCTGTGGAGGAGTCCCATCAGAGGGGATCCCATCAGCACGGGACCTGTTGGAGAGGTCCCACAGGAAGGAATCTCCCCATCGGAGGGGTCCCTTTGGAGTGGTCCTATCAGAGGGGGTCCCACTGGAGAGGGTCCCATCACCCCACACACACAGCTCCAGGAGGGCCCCAACAGTCCCAGGCAGACAGACAGCCCCAAGCCCATAGGCAGCCCATTAGTGCCAAATGGGATGGAGGGACATGGGCCTCTCCCATCTCCCCCACTGTGCCCAGCCCTCCCCACTGCCAATGCCACCCGTTCTGTGGGCAGGAGGTGTCAGCCTCCACCCCCCTTCCCACTCGGCAACACCGGGGACAGCTGGGCACCCCTGCTGCCAGCACCCTTCTCCCTTCATCCACCAAGATCCGGAGGGATCACCCACATCCACGGGAGCCACGGGGATGCAGAGCAACTCCCTGGCCCTACCCTCCAGCTGCGCCCTATCCTACTCCCCTTCACGTCCCTCTCCCTCTGCTCTCCCCCTTCATCTCCCTCCTCCTCCTCACCCCCCCCCCAGCTGCCCCCGGCTCTGGGTAGCACCAGCAGCTCCTTGCGTGGCAGATTGCTGCCTAATTAGTTTAGAGGGAAAACTTAATTGAATTAACTTTTCACAGCTCCAGCAGCCCGACAGTGGGGCCTCGCTCCGCGCCAGCCCCGCGCCCTGATCGAATTAACTTGTTTAGCAACCTGCCCGCTCGGCCGCGCAGCTGGGGTGGGCGCGGGGGGGCACCGGCAGCACCCACCGGGGGCCCGGGCGAGGGAGCGGAGACGGAGCTGACCCGGCCGGGGGCAGTGGGAGCTGCTCCCGGGGAAGGAAGTCCGGGAGGGAGCAGGACCCTATGGGCCTTGAGACGTGGGGAAGGATGCGGGATGAGCATGGGGCAGGGTGTAGGGCAGGAGATGGGCCAAGATATAGGGCAGGAGGTGGGGCAGGATGCGGGATTGGATACAGGGCAGGACAGGTTCGAGCTGATTCCACAGGACCCAGTCAGGGTCCTTTCTCCTTCTTCCCTCCCGGGGGGCCCGAAGCCCCTCGCTGGGCGCAATTAGACTTTTAAATCCTCTTTAGTGAAAGTGTTTGTCTTGAAAATGTCCCAAATCCTGCCAAATCCTCCCCAAATCCCCCTGCATCCCCCCCGGCCCCGTGCCCCCCTCTGGTGCCGCTGAAAGGGGCAAAGCCTTTGCCTTGGCCCCTGCGCGGGAGGTGGGCGGGATGGGGAGCTTTGAAATTCATCCAGCTTGAAAATTGGGGATGGAGGTGTCAAAGGCCAGAGCCCCCCCAAGGAGAGGGGCGTGGGGCTGAGCACCCCTCCGGAGCCCGCTGCTCCCCCCGCGCACCCAGGGACGGCGGAGGGCACCCAGGGGTGGGGGGGTGGCGTTGCTGCCCTCCTGCCCCTGGGATGCTCAGCCCCGGAGGCATGGGATGGGATGGGATGGGATGGGATGAGGATGGGAAGGCATGGGCACAGGAATGGAGATGGCGATGAGATGCAGATGGGATGGGATAGGATGGGATGGGATGGGGCTGGCGACAGAGAAGATACAGAAGAATTAATGGGGACACCGGGGGACCGTCCCGGCGCTGGTCCCGGGGGGGCCCCGCCGAGTGCTGCTCCGGGGGGTGCTGAGGGGCCGCTTCCCCCGCCCGCCCCGAAGTGGCGGCTGCTGGGGTCGGCTCGAGGAGGGGGGTGCGGGCGCCCATGAAGGGTTAAGGGGGGCGGGGGGCTGCGGGGAGGGGGGTGTCGGCTCCGCCCGCTCCCGCCGTCCCCGGGAGATATTGTCATGCAAAAGCCCCCGGCGAGCGCAGCCTTTGTCCGCGCTCCCCCCGCCAGTATATTAACGGGCCGGGGCGGCGGCGGCGGGGGCGGGCGGGGGCCCGGCGGGCAGGAGGCGGCGGGGACGGGCGGGCGGCAGCCGGGGCCGCGCCGGGCTCGCCATGGACTACTCCTACCTCAACTCCTACGAGTCCTGCGTGGCCGCCATGGAGGCGAGCTACGAGTTCAGCCCCTGCAGCCAGGCGGGCTCCTTCCAGTACAGCCCCATGCGGGGGGGCTTCGGGCCCGCGCCCGCCTGCGCCCCCCTCGCCTCCGCCAGCTGCGCCCTGGGCGCCCTCCGCGACCACCAGCCCTCGCCCTACTCGGCAGGTAACGGAGCGGGACCCCCCGAGCCACCAGGGACACACCCCGAGCAGCCCCAGGACGGGCGCAAGGAAGCGGCAGCGCCGTCGGGGTTGGAGGGGACCGAAGCTGGCGGGGACCGGGGTCGGCGGTTGCCGGTGGTGTCTGGGCTTGGTGCCATCGGTTCCCGGAGCCGTCGGTGTCCCGTACCGTCGGTGCTCGATGCCGTCGGCGCGCGGTATCGTCAGGACTCGATGCCGCCGGTGCCCATTACTGCCGGTTCCCGGTACCTCCGGGGCCCGATCTCATCAATTCCCGGTGCCGTCGTTGCCCTGTCAGTGCTCGGTGCCGTCGGTGCCCGTTACCATCGGTTCCCGGTGCCGACAGTGCCCGTTACTGCCGATTCCTGGTGCCGCTGGAGCCCGGCACTGTCAGGACTCGCAGCTATCGTTTCCCGGTACCGTTGGCGACAGACATCGTCGGTTCCAGGTGCCGACAGTGCCCGGTACTGTCGGCTCTCGGTACCGTCAGCGCAAGCTGCCATCAGTGCCCGGTCGCTGTCCGTTTTCGGTGCCGCCGGTGCTGGGTACTGTCAGGGCTCGCTGCCGTCGGTAACCGCTGCTGTCGGTGGTCGGTGCCGTCAATTCCCGGTGACATCGATTCCCGGTGCTATTGATTCCTGGTACTGCCGGTGCTGGGTCCCGCCGGTTGCCGGTGCCGCCGGTGCCCGCAGCCCGGGCTGACTCCGGCTCAGTCCCACCGCCCCCGCTCCCGGTTTCCCCGCTCTCGTCCGCCGGCGGGGACGGGCCCCCCGAGCACGGCCACGGTTTCCCCGGGGTCCCCGGCGCGGCGGCAGCCCCAGAACGGGGCTGGGGAAGATCCCCATCGCCGGGACCCCCTTCCCCGCTCCGCATTCGTTGACGCGGCGGAGGCGCTGCCCGGGGATGCGCCCATAACGAAGGAGCTGCCGATCGGTACCGGCCGCCCCACCCGCACCGCCGCCGCATCGCCCCCCCATCCCCGCTCGCACCCCGAGGCCCCGCATCCCGCCGGCAACGAAGGAACGGGGCCAGGGGCGCGGCGGGGGCAGCGACTCAGCCCTGCCCTCGTCCTTCTCACCCTGCCCGCGGGGTCCTGCCCGCTCCATTCCTGCACGGTTTATCCTGCCTGGATCATCGTGCCCGGTCCATCCCTCGGTCCATCCCTGCCCGGTGCACCCCTTCCCAATTCACCCCTGCCCAGTTCATCCTTCCAGCTCCATCCCTGCTCATCTATCCCTGGCCGGTATTCCCTGCCCGATCCATCCCTGCACATTCATCTCTTCCCGGTACATTCCTTCTCGGTCCATCCCTGCCCCGTTCATGCTGCCCGGTATGTCTCTGCCCGGTGCATTCCTGCTCGGTCCGTTCCTTCTTGGTCCATTCCTTCCCGGTTCATCACTTCACGATTCACCCCTTCCCGGTCCATTCCTGCCCAGTCCATCCCTTCCCAGTTCACCTCTGCCCTGTGTATCCTTTCCGGTTCATCTGTCCCTGGCCAATGTCCCCTACCCGGTCCATCCCTTCCCGTTCATCCCTTCATGGTCCCTCCTTTTCTGGTTCATCCCTGCCCCATTCATCCTGTCCAGCGTGTCCCTTCCTGGTCCATCCCTGCCAGTCCATTCCCGCCTGGTACCCCCTGCCCGGTGCTCCCCGCTGCCCACCGCTGCCCTCCTGCTGTACCGGTCCCACTGACGCCTCGTTTCCCTCCCAGTTCCCTACAAATTCTTCTCGGACCCGTCGGGGATCAACGAGAAGCGGAAGCAGCGGCGGATCCGGACGACTTTCACCAGCTCCCAGCTGAAGGAGCTGGAGAGGGTCTTTGCCGAGACCCACTACCCCGACATCTACACCCGCGAGGAGCTGGCCCTCAAGATCGACCTCACCGAGGCCCGGGTGCAGGTCAGCTCGGGGAGGGGGGGATGAGGTTGCGGGGTTGGGGATGAAGGAACGGGAGATCTAATCCCACCAGAGCGGGGATCCTGACTGTCGGACGCTGCCGCTGTGCCCCCTGTGTTGGGATGGAGGGCGGGGGGGACTCGGCCTCAGCCCCACCACAGTCGGGGACATGCTGCTCTGATGGGGACTGCGGGGGTACCCCCGCACTCAGCCTGGCTCCCAGCAGAGTAGGGGCATCGGTTCATGCCACGGCACTGTCACTGCCACCGATTATTTAGTCCGATCCCAAACACCCGGAGGTTGGTGAGAGTCCGGGGAGGACAGAGAGTGGCGCCGTTGTGGGTGCAGACCCCCCCTTTTTCTGGGTGCAGACGCTGCCTATGTCAGTACAGATTTCTCATGGTGGATGCAGAGCCCCCCGTGTGGGTGCAGATCCTCTTTTGTGAGTGCAGAACCCCCTGTGTTAGTGCAGACCCTCCTTTGTGAGTGCAGACCCCCTGTGTTAGTGCAGACCCTCCTTTGTGAGTGCAGACCCCCTGTGTTAGTGCAGAACCCTCTTTGTGGGTGCAGACCCCCCTTTGTCAGAACACCTGTCCTCATAGGGATGTAGGGACCCACAGGACTGGGGGGGTCCCGGCCCCAAGGATGGGGGGACCCATAGGGCTGCGGGGGGGATGGTTTGTGGAGCCGACCCCACCATCGGCACCACGGGGAGCAGGAGAGGTGCCCGCTGTGGGGGTGGGCTCTGACCCTGCGAGGTGCACGTGTGGGTGCAGCAGGGGCCCTGGCAATGCCCCCTCACCGTTTCTCTCCCCCACTGTCGCCGATGCTCATGCGAGTGCCCGTCATCGACCTCACAAATCCGCATTGTTGTGGATATGGGGATCCCTCTGGTGCTGCGGGAAACATTTCCCCCGTGGGAATGGGGGGCTGTGAGGGGAACCTCAGGGCCTGGGGAGGAGCTGCCTCTGCACCCACAGGCTCCCCAAACGCCCAGGAACGGTGGTGTGGGGTGCTCCCATCCCCTCCATCCCCCCCCAGGTGTGGTTCCAGAACCGTCGAGCCAAATTCCGCAAGCAGGAGCGTGCGGCCAATGCCAAGGGTGCCAGTGGCACCGGCACCACCGGGAAGAAGTCGGAGCCGCGCTCTTCCTCAGAAGATGACGAATCCAAGGAATCCAACTGCAGCCCGACGCCGGACAGCACGGCGTCCCTGCCTGCCGCTGCCATCGGCAGCCCCGGCGGCAGCCTGAGCCCCAGCCCCGGCGCGGGGGCACCCATGGGACCCGGCCATGCCCCCCAGCCCCTCAAGGCGCCCCTCTGGGCAGGGGTGGGGGGTGGCAGCGGTGCCCCCAACGCGGCCGAGCTGCTGAAAGCCTGGCAGCCCACCGAGGCTGTGCCGGGACCCTTCTCCGGTGTCCTCTCCTCCTTCCATCGGAAACCCAACGGCATCAAAACAAACCTCTTCTGATCACTGAGTCACCGGATCTGGCTGCCCCCAAATCCCCCCCAGCCCTCATCCTGCATCCCCCACCCGCTGCCCCCGCCACGGACCCAGACACGACGCCTCAGCAAACGGGGAGACGGAGCAGGGACCGCCCCGCGCCACCTCCCGGACCCTGCGCCGGCGGGATGGACCCGGAGCTGGGGCAGCTCCCACCGGCACCCGTGTGGGTGCTGCGGGACCGCGGGGGTGCGAGGCGGGGGCGGCACCGCCGTGCTCAGCCGGCACGTCCCTGGCACAGCCTTCGCTTCTGGGGGCTCCCGGTGCGCTCCAGGGTTGGGGGCAGGTGCAGGGCTCCCCACAGCACCGCGGGTGCTCCAGTATCCCGGTGCCCGCCCCAGGAGAACCCCCTCCGATGGGCTTTGCCGCTGGGCTGGGGGTGAGGAAGCACTTTATGGGGCGGGGTCTGGGGGCCACGGGGTGGGCGTTGCTGGGGAGTGTGGCAGGGAGACGCTCCTCGGTGTGGGGAGGGGATGCCCCCCAAATCCTGCCTGCTGACATGGATCCCCCCCAGCAGCACCCTGACGCGGTAGGATTGGAGGTGAGAAGACTCCGTTCCTCAAGATTTTGGGGAGTAAAAGCAGGGCCGGGGGGTTCAGCGCTCGCCAGCATTCCCGTGGGTGCTGCCCACGGGGACGGGGCACCAGAACGGCTGGCTGGGGGTGAGGTGGCCCCCCGAGAGGGGGCTGGTGAGGGATGGAAGCCCTGGAGCAGCCAGTGGGACCCCTCGGGGGAACAGGAACCCCTCTGAACAGCCGGTGGGACCCCTTGGAGGAGCCGGGAGTCCCCAGAGCAGCCAGTGGGAGTCCCTGGAGCAGCTGGTGGGACCCCTCGGAGTAGCCAGGACCCCTCACCAGCAGCAGGATGGGTGCTCCCGCTGCAGCTGCCACGGGTGCAGTCAGGACCCGCCAGCACAACATCCTGATCTCACAAAGGGTCCCCAGCAGGGGGCTGGGATGCTGGTGGGACCCCTTGCACCCACCCCCCCTACACTGGTGCTGCCGTGCCGGTTGGCTCCGTGGCATGGTGAGCACGCTGGCAGCCCACCCACGTGTCCTCGTCCACCCCCCGTCTCCCCCAGTGCCTCCGAGGTGAGGTCCCCACTTTTCTTTCGTTTTTTTTTTAACCATTCTGTAATTTATTGCCCATGTTTGCAAATGCCACCAATCCAAATAAAACTTAATTTATTGATGCTGCTGCTGGCCCCCAGCCCTCGCTGCGCCCCCCACAAGGGCTGCAGGGGTGGGGGGCTGCATGGCCCCTACCCCTGAGCTATCCCAAACCTGCCATAGCCCCCTAGGTGATGCCACAGACCCCCAGCACCTTAGGGATTATTTTGGGTGCCCCCCTCCCAAAGACCTCGAGGAGCTGTAGGGAGCTGGGGGAGCACCACATGGGAAGCCCCTGAAGTGGGGTGAGGAGAGGGATGCCCCACACAGCCCCTCTGGCCTCTTGGGGCCCTTTGGGGGTGGTGATGGGGAAGGTCCTAGGGGCACTGGGATGGTGGCAAGGAGCACACCAGGGAGTTGGGCAGGCAGTGTGGGGTACCCAAGGTGGGCAAGAAGGGGAGAAGGGACTTGGTCCCCCCCCTTGCATGGACCAGTACAGCCAGTCTGGAAGGTCCCTATTATCCTGGGACCAGTATGGCCAGCCTGGAGCATCCCTGACTGTGCTGGGACCAGTACAGCCAGCTTGGGGGTCCCAGATCACACTGGGACCCAGTTCCTCAATCCTGCCCCCCTCCCCAGACCCTCCCAGACCCCCCCTTGCCATGCGGAGAGCTCCACCACACCCATTGCATGAAATGTAACAAAAATCAGTCCAGATTTACCAAAAACCACCAAACACAGGGCACGACAAGACAGGGGTTTAGTGGGGGGAAGTTCACACCGAACACCCCAGTAACAAACAGTCAGGGGATTTTGGGGGGCTGTTGGGGGGGCCGGCCCATCCTTCATCTCAGCCGGAGTGAGGGGAGGGAGGGGATGGGGGTGGCATTGCCCACCAGCCCCCTGGGGACAGGGAGAGTCTGGAGGGGTCATCCCAGCAAGGAAGGCATGGCTGGGGGATCCCCACCCTAGGGACCCCCCTGGAAGGGCACTTGGTGAGGTTGGGGGCTGAGCACCCACGGGGGGACCTGGGTGCCAGCCCCACTGCCCCCGAGGGAAACAGAGACCCCCGGGGCGGGGACGGACCCAGCAAGTACCTAATGGGCAAACTGGGAGTGGGGGCACACCCCGGAGGCACTGGTGGTGTGAGGTGGGGTCTGGGTGAAGGCACTGATCTGACTGCTGCAGTGGGACTCCCGGGGTAGGGACTCCCAGGGCGGGCACAGGGACCTCCATGGTGGGGATGGGACCCCCAAAGATGGGGACAGGGATCCCTGGGGTGGGGACAGAAACCTCCAGGGATGGGGATGGCACCCCTGGGGTGAGGATGGGCATCTCCCAGGGTGGGGACAGGGACTCCCAGGGAGGGGACGGGACATCCCCAGGGTGGGGACATGGATCCCTGGGGTGGGGACAGGGACCCTCGGAGTGGAGACAGAAACCCACAGGGTAGGGGTGGGACTCCTGTGTTGGGGACAGCGACCCTCAGGGTGGGGATCGGTGCCCTGGGGTGGGGACAGAGACGCTGGGGGTGGGGACAGGGACCCTCAGAGTGGGGATGGGACTTTCAGGGTGGGGACAGGATCCTTGGGGTGGGGATGGAGACCCTAAGCTCCGCCCAGTGTTGTCCGTGGGGGCTGGCCAAGCCCTCCCATCCCATCCCATCCCAGTGCTGGCTGGGCATCATGAAGGCACTTGGATTGAGACACGACTTTGCTCAGCGCCTCCTCCTCCTCCTCCTCCTCCTAGCTGTGAGGGGCTGTGGGGGGAGCCAGGGCTCCCAGGGTTCCCCCTCAACAGCCCTTCCCCCAGCCCTTCTTCCAATAAATAAGAAATAACTTATATGTGAGGATGCCCCATAGGGACCCCCCTGTGAAATTGTCTGACCAGAACCCACCACCCACCCTGTCCCCCCCTCCCCCCTCCCCATCCCGTTACCCAGCACCCGAGATGGGGGGCAGGCCGTGGGGGTCCCGGAGCTCCCACTGGCTGCTGGTGATGGTGGGATGCGTGGATGCGGGATGTGTGACCATGGCACGAGGGATCCTCAGCTGCAGGATGCAAGATGCTCAGATGCAAGATCCGGGATGCACGGCCATGGGATCCGGGATGCTCGGCCGCAGGATCCGGGATGTGGAATGCACACCCACGGGACCCGGGACGTGCGGCTGCGGGACGCGGGATGCTGGGCCACGGGACACGCGACTGCAAGGTCTGGGATGTGTGGCTGCAGGATTTGGTTGCTGCAGGATTTCGGGTGCTGGGCCGCAGGGTGTGCAGCCGCAGGATGTGGGATGCCGGGCTGTGGGACGCACGGGACGCCGGGTGTGCGGCGGCAGCTACTTGCGGAGCTGGAGGCTCTCCAGGAGGACACGCTTGTGGCCGGGCTCCAGCACTCCAGCCTCCTCCAGGTCCTCCTCCGTGATGTCACTGGGGTGGGGGTGCAGACGTGGAGCTCTCTGCCCCCAGGTACGCCCCAGCCTCAGGGGGGGCACCCCCGCCCAGGTGAGGTCCCCATGAGGGGGTGTGAGAGTTCCCACTTGGGCTGCTGGGTGCCCACCCAGCCTCCCTCCTGGGGGGGCAGTGGGGACCCCCTGGGGCAGCTGGGACACCCAGGGGCAGCAGGGATCCTCCCCAGGGCAGCATGGACCCTCTGGGGGCTGTGGGGACCTCCGGGGGCAGCAAGGGGAAGTGAGGGAAGCAGAAACCCCGAGGAAGTGGAGATCCTAAGGGGGCAGTGGGGACCCACCCAGGGGCAGTGGGGACCACTGAGGGCAGTGCCCCTATGGATCTCCCCAAAGCAGGGTCACCCCACCCAGGCATCGCTGTGGCCCCCTGGGGATGACATGGACCCCCTGGGGATGGCAAGTCTGGGGGTGTGGGTGAGCAGTTTCGGGGGGCCGCTCACCTGAGGAACTCCAGGTCATCCCAGCCATTGCGCACCAGCCCCTCCTCGTACCGCTCCAGCCCCAGCGCCCGCAGCCACTCGCCCACGCCGGGCACGGTGCCCACGCCACGGCCCAGCACCTGCACCCCGACACCCTCAGCACCAGGGGGCCCCCCAGACAGCCCCAGCTGAGCGCGCTGGGAGGCCCAGCAGCCTGACCCCCACCCACCCTGCATCACCCACCTCCTCGGCCAGGTCCTCCTGGATGCTCTCCCGGATGGAGTGGGGCGGGAAGGCGAGGGGGCGGCCATAGTCGGGGGGCAGGCAGCGGGGGGGCAGCCCCCCCTTGGCCAGCAGCGGTGGGGGTGGGGCCACCCTCCCCTTCCCACCCCCGTAGTCCACCTCACTCAGCGTCTTGGCCATCTGCAGCACCGAGCAGGAGCGGTCATCCAGCAGCCCCCCAGCACCCGGCAGCCCCCCCACTGCAGGCAGCCCCCCCACTGCAGGCAGCCCCCCGGTAACGGGGGTCCCACAAGCCCCCTCCATCCCGAATCCAGCCCCGGCAGCCGGGGGTGGCCGGGGGTGCAGCTTGGGCAGGGGAGCCTCTCCAAAGGCAGCAGGGTGGGATTTGGGGTCCTCACGCGCGGCGGGCACCGGCGGCTCCTTGGGGGTGCCAAAGAAGGGGTTTGGGGGGAGCTCCAGCTCCCGCGGCAGTGGCGGCGGGGGAAAATCCGGCGGCGGCAGGTTGAGGGTGCCGAGATCCTCCTCCTCCTCGCTCTCGTCACCACGGCACGCCGAAGGCTGCCGGCGGCGTTCCGGCACCGCCAGCTGCACCTTGGCCTTGGGGGGCTTGCCGGGATCCCCCGGTGCCAGCAGCTGGTGGGGGACCCCTTCCAGGACGTAGTACGCCGGATTGTTGAAGCTGTTCTTCAGGGGAGCCCCCGACAGCTCTGGCACCGCCTCTGCCTTGGACCTGCAGGCACAGGGGTGAGCGTGGCAACCCAGAGCGTGCCCCCTCCCCAGCCCTGCCCACATTCCCTCACCGGCTCGGGGCAGCCTCGTCCCTGGGGGTGCCACGGTGTGGGGCAGGGGGCCAGGGGCCTGCTGCAGTGCTTCCCTTCTCGGGCTCCTCCAGAAGCTTCGCTGGGTTGGCAGTGGGGGGCTCAGCACCGGTGGGCTTCCGCCCCACAGACCTGGGCAACAGGAGGTGTTGGGTGCCCCATGGGGCTCGAACCCCTGCAGTGGAGCTCAGAGCCCCAGCATGGTAACAAGGTTCAGACCCCCTGGGATGGGTCTCAGCAGCCCAGCACTGGGCTCAGACACCCAGCATGGGGCTCAGACCCCCAGGATAGGGCTCAGCCACCAAAACATGCCAGTGTCACTCTTGGAGGCACAACAGAGCCCCATCCCTGCCTTGCATGGCACACAGCTGCCCCCAATCACATCCCACACACCATCCCTGCAGCCTCCTGAGCCCCAGGACCCCCCAGCTGGGTGTTACAGGTGCCCCCCACCCACCGAGCCCTGTCCCCCGTACTTGGCATAGTCCTGGGTGGCCCTGGCACTCAGAGGCACCTTCCCTTTGCCGGCTGTTGTCTCGTCCTTATCAATGCTGATCCACTCTGTCAGGGGACAGGGGCTCAGTGGTGGGGTCCTGTCCCCACCGTTTCCCCCAGGGAGGGGAGTCCTCACCATAGAGCCTCTCACGGGTGCCCAGGCGCTCAGTGGGCACCCGGACCTTCATGGAGCCACGGATGTTGCCGGTCTCCTCGCCACGGTGGGACAGGTAGGTGAGGAACTGCTGTGCTGTGCTGCCAATCATCGACTTCAGGGCGATGACACACTCCCCTGGGGGTGACAGCAGGGGGGTCAGGGGTCTGCACCCCATGGACCCCCGGGTGCAGGTGCAGTGCTGGTGTGGACACTCACCGTAGGACTCGTAGCCATCGAGGGATTTGACGGTGAGCAGGAGGTGCTGGTCCTGCAGGTACTCGATCTCAGAGAGGATGGGCTTCAGCTGCAGCCAAGGGGACAAGGTGCTGGTGCTGAGTGGGGGTCTCCCCGCCTGCAGCTCCCCCTGGCGCCCACCCTGTCAGCCCCCAGCCCCTCCTCACCGTCGGCAGCTGCCGGGAAGACCACTGCACTTTGAGGAAGTTGATGTTGTCGCTGCTCTGACTGTCATTCTCGAAGCTCTTCTTGAACTCTGTGGTGTGGGGGGGACATGGCATCACCCCTGTCAGCCCCCCTGGGACCCCACATTGCCATCCCAGTCCTCACCTTCCAGGCAGGTAGAATAGAACTCGATGAAGAACTTGGTGCGACTGGATGTCTTCACGATGGCCTCGATGCTCTCAAACTCGATGTACGCCTGCTCCGAGGACTTGGAGAGCCCTCCATGGAGAGGTGAGGTGTTGGAACCCCCCTGGGACCTCCCCATCTCGAGGGAGAGGTGGAACCCATGGGGGGTGGGGGACAGCGAGATGTCCCCTTGGGCACAGGCACCTTTTTTGGAGACGAACTGGGATGTCACTCCCACCTCGAAGGAGCCGAAGACGGGTGAGTGGTCACTGGTGACGATGTCATCCGTGCATCCTGCAGCCAGCAGGGATGGGGGGAACGGTCAGGATGGAAGGGACCGTCCCAGAATGGGGAGGGGGGGGTGTTGGGGGGTCACACTGCTCACCATAAGCATTGCAGTTGACGTGAGTCTCGGGGTAGGATTTCCAGAGGATGCGGTCGCACCAGGACGGCACGTTGGTACGCACCTGGTAGGGATGGGGAGGGGATGAGGGTTCAGGTTGGGGTGTCTACCCCTCCCCTGACTCCCCACTACCCCAGCACCTACCCCTGTGGGTTTCTGCTTGTGCCAGACATAGGTGTCCCGGGAGCCCCGCTCGTAGCGGTAGGTGGGGGGGAAGGTGATCTCCTCCTCACCTGCACAGACAGCAGTGGGTCAGGACAGTCCCAGCAGGAGGGACTATCCCCCCAGACTCTCCCAGAGACCCCCGAGTCCTCACCAAAGCGCAGGAACACCTTGTGCTTCTCCTTCTCCAGGTTGAGCTGATCCACCTTCAGCAGCGGCTCCAGCTCCTTGCGGCTGATGTAGTTGAGGATCTCCTGCGGAACAGAGGGGCTGGCACCGGGCTGGGCAGGGGGTATCTGACACCTCTCACCCCCCGTCCCCGTCCCCCAACCTGGATGTCCATGTCCAGGCGGTAATTGAGGTCCCCAAACCAGAAGAGGTGGGTGAAGCGGAGGGAGATGTCAAAGGAGCTCAGCTGCTTGTCCCCCAGCGAGAGTAGGCGCAGGATGTCCAGGTAGTTCTGGTTCCTCCTGAAGCAGGGGACATGGGGACAGGGGTGTCACAGACAAGGAGACAGGGCCCCTCCCGGCCCATTCTGGAGTGGGGGTGCTCACCGTGCCGTCTTCTCATTGCCAGAGGTGAGGTGGCAGTTGACGAAGCCAAAGGAGGTGCCATTGAACATGAAGGAGACGCCCACAGCACCCTTGTTCCCTGTGGGGACACGGGGACATGGGATGGGATCAAGCCAGAGCAGGGGCAGTCCCCCAGCCCTGGGGGATGGGGGGCACAGTCCCCACCTGGCTGGCTGGCATGGGCACGTGCCCAGAGCCCTTCTCACGTAATGCATGAACCCCCAGAGCCTGCCTCGTGCAACACACACACACGGAAAGCCCTCCTTGTGAAACACCCGCACCCAGACCCCTCCTCATGCAACACGTGTGCTCTGGGATCCCTCCTTGGCCAAAACACACCCCCCCAGACTCCTCTTCAAGCAACACACGTGCTCCAGGACCCCATCCTGTGTGAGCCATGCAACACCGGGACCATCCTGGAAGCCCAGACACTGGTGGGCCCCCCCGGTGCAGCGCACACCCCCCGTGCCCCCACGGGCCCCTACCCAGGGTGTTGGCGATCCCCGTCTTGACGCTCGAGGTGCTGACGTGGCTGATGCGGTTCTCGTGCTCCGGCTTCACCAGCACCACCACCTTGATGTTCCACAGGGACTGCATGGCCACCTGCCGGCCCCGGCATCCTCAGCCCCTGCCAGCACGCCATGGGGCCCCCCCGGGCCATGGGGGGTGCGCCCACAGCTGCTGCTCATCACAGCCCCACCCCAGCCTCTCCCGCCCAGGGCTGTTCCCCAGGAATTCCACCACCATCAGCACCCAAAGCTACCAGCACCAGGAGAGCACCCTAAAATACCCGGTGTCAGCAGAACTGGAGCACCAACAGCCGCCCAGCACCACGACAGGACCCCAAAGCACCCGGTGTCACAGAGCCAGAGCACAGCCACCCCAGGGACACCGAGCATCGCCCACCTCCACCACCCACTGGTGCCTGCACACCGCAGTCCCCAGGAGCCCCCGGAGCCCCCGGTTCCTACCGGGCGGTACTCGACCTCCGTGAAGTCCTTGAGGACAGTGCGCAGGAAGTCCACCCACTCCTTGTCTCCCAGGGAATTCTCCTGGGTGCCGAAGACGTAGATGTCATGGGGGATGGCCATCGTCACCTCATCCAGGGTCTTGCCCAACCCCTTGGAGGTGAACCATGAGGTGATGTTCTTAGGGGGGGGGACGCTGCCTGCAAGGGGGACGGCATGGTTAGGGGGCACCCCGGGGTCTCGGCACTCCACCATGGGCTTCCCCCACCCTTCTCACCCATATTCCAGGTGCCAATGAAGATAGAGATCATGTCAGGCTCATCCTGGTGGGAATGCTTGTTCTTCATCAGCTGCAGGAGCTGGCAGAAAGCCTCACGCTTCTGCAGGGGGGGACATTGAGAGGGGGGGCCGGAGGGGCTCCCCACAACCCCTTCCAGCACCCCTGCTTTGGCTCAGCCAAACCTGGCACCTCCTGGGCATGGGGGACCAGTACAGGGACATCCCCCAGCTATCAAGGACCAGCACCCAGCACCCGGCCCTGAGCCCTAGCAGGGCCCAAGAGTTAAATCCTGCCCCCCACCACCCCTACAAGGGACCTTCCCCCTTGTCCCCCCACCCGAGCATTACCCACCCGGGCACTGACGAAAACAAAGTCTTTCCGCTGTGTTTTATCCTTTTCCTTCTCAGAAACGATGCCCAGTTTGTTCTGCACTCGCTGTGACTTGATCAGCTGCCGGACTGGGGAGGAGTGGTGAGAGCTGGGGGGTGCTGGGTGCCAGCTGGGTGCTGGAGCCCCCCCAGCCCACGCTTTGGGGGACCCCCAGGATGGGCACACCCCATAGCTCCCAGCCCACCACTGAGCCCCACAGGGACGCTCCCCAGCACAAAGGCAGCCTCAGGGGGCCCCGTGGGTGCCTCCCCACTCACTCTTGTCATGGGTGAAGGTGTTCCAGTCCTCCTGGGAGTCCTTCTGCTTCTTCAGCACCACCAGCTTCCCCCCCTCCACGTCCACACTCAGTGTGTACTTCTGTGACTTCCCAATCTTGGTCAGGTCCCCCAGGGTGATGTCCAGCTTCACCTGCCAGGGGACACTGCGATGAGGGAGGACAGAGGGGACACCCCAGCACTCCAGCTGGGGACACCTCGGGGTCTGTGCCCTCAGTGTTACACCACACGCACTCAGCTGACGCCAGAAGTCTCCCAGAACTCCGAAACTCAGGAAGGGGGGGTAGGGTAGGGCTGGGCTCACCTCGAAGGTCTGCACTGGGATGCTCTTGGCCTTGCGGGACAGGGGCTGGGGGGGGGCGGTGGGGGCAGCCGAGCTCATCTCCTGCAGGGCCTTCAGTGCCTGCCAGAGCCCCCAGTGGCATCAGCCGAGAGGCCACCAGCCCCCCCCCAGCTCTACCAACCCCTCCAACTCTCCAGTTCACCAGCGTTCCAAGCACCCTCAGTCCTCCCAGCCCCCCAAGATCCACCAGCCCCCTCAGCCCTACCAGTGCCCCAGCTCCACTGCCCCCGCCCCCAGTCCCACTGTTGCCTCATTCCCACGAGCCTCCCCCAGCTCCCTCCAGCTCCACCAGCCCAACGATCCCTGTCAGCTGTCCCAGTCCCACCATCAGCCCCATCAGTGCCATCGGCCCCACAGACCCCTCAGTCCATCCAGACCCCTCAGGACACCCCCATGAGAACACATCCCCCGCACACCCCCGGCCTCACCTTCTTCTCGATGGAGGAGAGGAAATCTTTCAGCACAGACAGCTTCAGCACCAGGCTCTCCAGCTCCTGCTCCCCGCTCTGCCCTGCTGTCTGGAACCCCCAGCAGGTAACCCCAGCACAGGGACGGGATCCCCACACCCACCCCAGTTCCCCCCCAGAGTAACAAGACCCCCAGGCGCCCTGGGATGGGGCAGGATGGTGGGTGTTTCTCCCCAGGCTTTCCCACCACCCATGGACGGTGCTACAGTGGGGTCTGTGGGCACAGTCCGTGGTGGTGGGTTACCACCACCGTGGCATATCCCCCTCACCTGCTGCAGGATCTTGGAAACCATGGGGGAGCTCTGCTGGTCAAACACTTTGGAGAGGATCTCCAGCCCTGCCAGCACCTTGTCCACCTCACTGCAGGGGCAAGAGGAGCCAGCTCAGTGGGTGACACAGATGTCCCTCCATCTGTCCATCTGTCCCAGTGCCCAGCACCCACCTGTGCAGCCGTTTGCAGGAGGTGACAAGGGTCTTGTTGAGGTGGGGGAGGCTGTTGGCCCCCCCCTTCACTGCCTCCAGGTCCAGGGTGTAGCTGCCCTTCAGGTACTCGTGGGAGATGCTGCTGAGCCCGTTGGCACTGCGGGGAGGACACCCAGGGGGTGAGAGCCGGCAGGGATGGGCAGGGGACAGACAGGGGACTGGCAGGAGACGGGCAGACCCTCACCTCTCTGCCGGCCCCTCCGGCACGGCTGGTCCCAGGCTAGTGGGGCTGAGCCCGGCCGAGGTACTGGAGAAGCTGGTGGAGCCAGAGCGTGGTGGCAGCGGCGGCTTCTCATCCTCTCCATCTGCAACGGGGCGATGAGGGAGTCAACCCCTGCCACCCCGGGGGTCCCAGGACCCCGCCCACCCGCCCGTGTCACCCTGCCATACCCGAGTAGTCCCTGTCCTCCACGGTCTCCTTCTCTTTCTCCCTCTCGACAGGGAAGAGCAGGGTGCAGACCAGCCCCTGGTTGGGCTGCAGGTACAGGGCGATTAGCTCGCTCAGCGTCTTGAAGCGCCGCACCTGCACCCCCTGCGACGTCTGCGGGGACACGGGGACACCGGGGCCATCAGCACCTGCAGCCACCATCACCGGACCCCCGCGTGGGGACACCACCAGGCAGGGACCCCCCCATGCAGGGACGCCACCACGCAGGGACCCCCAGGGAGGGATCCCTCCAGGCAGGGATGCCACTGTGCACAGACCCCCATGGAAGGATGTCCCCAGGCAGGGATCTCCCAAGGCAGGGGTACCACCACGCAAGGATCCCCAGGGAGGGATGTCCCTATGCAAGGATATCTCCAAGGAGGGACATCCCCATGCAGGGATCCCACCATGCAGGGATGTCACCATGCAGAGATACTACTGTACAGAGATGCCACCACGGAGGGATGCCCCCCCACAGGGAAATCCCCACAAAAAGACTCCCATGCAGTGATCCTCCCATGCAGAGATGCCACCATGCAGGGACCCACATGCAGGATGGGGGGCTGACCCCACAGCCCATGGTGGGGAGCCGGGCCTGGTGCATGTGGCACAGTGCCCTGGTGCCACCCACGGGGGGCTGGCAGGTGGGCTGGCAGGGTGCAGGCAGCAGTCATCCTTCGGCCTCCTCCCTCCCGGGGGCGGCTTTTCCTGCCTGCCCGGCCGGCACAAAGGGGGTTCTGTTGCTCTAAAAATACCCGGTGCTGGCAGCCTGCCAAGCCAGGCACAGCCAAGCCACCCGGCACAGCCGGGCACGCGCGTGGCACCAGGCCAGGGCTGAGCCCGGCACATCCACCCGGCACAGCAGCCCGGCACAGCCAAAGAGACGGGCACACTCATGGCACGATGTCGAGATTGAGCCCCGCCGAGCCAGAGACCCCTCGCTGCCCACGAGCCAGAGGGTGTCCCGTGCCCCCACTGCCCACCTGCACAGCCAGGAAATCCTCCTCGTCGGGCAGGATGCGGTAGGTGTGGACGTGCTTCTGGAACCTGTGGCAGCGGGGAGGAGGCCATCAGGCAGGGGGTTCTAGGGGGTTGGGTGGCATGCCCCCACCCACCTGCATGGCTCAGCACTCATCCAGCACCCGCAGTGAGGAGCTCCAGTACCACTATTCCCTATGGCATCCAATGAGCTGACAGGGAAACCTATAGGAAAATGCCCACAGGATGGGGCCTGGGGGTCCTGGATGGGTGCTGGGGGTCCCAGGCTGACCCCTCTGCTTGCTCTGATCCCACGATCAACACCACCATGTCCTTGGTAGTGCCACTGCCCCAGCCCCACTGCCTGTCTGTGTGCCGGAGCCTGTGTCCCCAGCCTGCAGTGCAGGCAGGAGCTGGCAGGCGCAGGCAGGAGCTGGCAGAAGCAGGCAGGAGCTGGCAGCCAGGACGCCAGGAAACAATTTATTTTCCAATGGAAGCTGACAGGAACCAGGGACGCGATCCCGGGGCAGGGGGTGACAGGCGGCGCTAAGAGACAGGGTGACAACAGCAGCGGGTGCAAGGAGCAGGACCGGGACTCCAGGGGTGTCCCTTCCCCATCCTGGGGACTCCAGAAGCCAGGGACCCCTGGCACAGCCAGACTCCCCCACCCCAGTGCTGTCAGGAGGGACGGTGGCTCCTGGGCTGGCCTCTGGCCATGGAGCTCACCATGAGCATCGAGGAGGCTGTCACCACGCCAGGGCCACTGGTCACCACGCCAGGGCCACTGGTCACCACACCAGGGCCACTGCTCCACTCAGCTGCCATGTCCCCTGCCCCGATGGCACCTTGACACAGGGCTGAAGGACTGGGACAAGGCAGCATCTGTGCCCCCTGCACTGTGTCACATCCACAGACAGGGTGCTGTGTCCCCTGCTCCCACCCCACAGGGCCAGGTCCCCTGGTGTCCTCCTATAGTGCCAGATCCCTCACAGTGCCCTAGGTCCCTTGCTGCCACCCCATGATGTTAGTTTCCCTGTGCCACCCCACAGAATCAGGTTCCCTGGTGCCACCCCAAAGCACTGGGTCCCCTGGTGTCACCCCACTTCCTGCAGTGCCAGGTCTCTCATTTCTCGCCCCTCCCCTGCAGCTACAACCAACCCCAGCAGGGAGTGCCCCCGGGTGCCCCAATGCCCAGTCAGGGGTCATGGGAGTTCATGGGGAACCCCCCAAGTGGGAGGGGGGGGTGAATGGCAATCCGCTACAGGGGGGCTGTATGGGAAACCCTGCAGGGGGGTGAGGGGGTCACTGTAGAACCTCCTTGCTGACGGATCTCAGGGGTCCCCAGATCAAAGGAGTCAGAGTGGGAGAACCCCAGCTGGTGGGATTGGGGCGGCACAAAGAGACATCCCCCCAACGGGAGAAACATAAGGAGCCTCTGTGGAAAGTCCTAAGGCCCATTTGGGGTCTCCATAGCAAAAACAGCAACCGGGGTGTGATGGGTGGGTGCAAGAGGAACCCCAGCACAGCACCAATACGTGGAACCCCAACTTGGAGAGGCAAGGGGCAGGACCCCCAGGAGGAACCTCAGCTGTGGGGGAGGACAAGGGGTTCTCCGTGGGTAACCAGAGGTGGAGCCAGAGGGACACCGTGCCGAGGGGGCGGATGGTAGGGGGAGGGGGGCTGCATGGCCCCTGGCTGCCCAGCCCCGCGCCGCTGGCGGCTGCTATTTTGATGAGCGACGCCGGGGGGGCCTGGGAGCGCCGGGCTCGGGCACAAAGAGCCTTTATGTGGGAGCCCCGGGGCTCCCCGCCGGCTCTGACACGCAGCCGGCACCCTGCCACGGCCCGGCCGGCACAGCGGGCTCCCCGCACAGGGGACACCCGCCGCCCTCCTCCCCAGAGCACCGCGGGCACCTCGGCGGGGACACCACACACCCCCTGGCACTGGTGTCCCCGTGAAGCGGCAGTGAGGCAGGACAGGGGCCCCAAGCCCTCCCCTCCTGGCGGACAGCGCACCAGGACCACCCCCAGTGGCGCTGCCCACCAACCGGCCACGCTGGCACTCCTGGGGTGCCCCACGGTGTGCCGGCGCTGTGGGGTCCCGTGATGCCCCGGTGTGCCGCAATGAGATGCCCCGGTGTGTCATGGAGAGGCCACAGCGAGATGTCCCGGTGAGCCACGTCCAACCTCGAGAGGCCACGGAGCACCAGCAGGAGGGTTAAAGGAAGCCGACGCTGCCGGGATCCCGCTGCAGTTCCCTTTCCTCCTCCTGCCCCCGCAGCTATTTTTAGGGCCCCGGCAGTGGCCGGGGCCAATGGCTTCACAGTCCTGGCCACCCACTCGCCGGCAATGGGTGGGATCACAGCACCAGGGATTCCCAGTGTCCTTGTCGGGGTTCTGTCACCCACCGTGGCATCCCCATGATGGGCTTTGCGAGGCTGTGTGGTCCCCACCTGTGGCACAGCCATGTGGCACCCACAACCCCCTCACTGGGCAGTGGGAAACACCAGTGACAGACACCCCTTCCCCAGGCACCCGCACCATGATGCCAGCTGCAGCCCCCTGTCACCCACCCTGGTGCCCTGACATGCCCCCCAGCCCTGTGGCACCACATGTTCTCCCAGTGCTGTGCCCTGGTGCTGCTCGCCAGCCCAGCTTCGTGGTGGGGAGCCAGTGCCCATGGCCACGCTGTGCCCCCATGGATGGGAAACCACATTTGCCCCCGTCCACAGGGAAGGGCAGCAGTGCTGCCATGGAGGCTGCGTGCCTGGCACCTGTGCATGGCACTGGCACACGGCAGCCCCAGGCCAGGGCAGGTCAGCTCACGGTGCACTCCTGGTTCTGCCACGGACTCTCGGGGCACAGAAAAGCTTCGAGTTGAGGTGCCGTCACCGCCACCCCACAACCACATCAAGGTCCAGGTGCTGGCACAGGCGGCAGGCCTTGAGTAGAGCCAGGGGTATGCCCCAGGAGCTCCCCGGGAGCACCCCAGCACACGGCACACCGCCAACCCACCGAGGTGCCAGCAAGGCCTCAGGTATGGAGGGGGCTGGGGTGCACTGCTGGGCAGAGGGGGCAGCGTTCCAGGACCCCAGGGCTGTCAGCACTCACCCGTGGCCCAGCACCAGCCAGGAGCCACAGGAGTCCCGTGGTGTGACTCAAGGGCACAGAGCTCACCTCCTCCCCCAGGTTGGGAACCCCCTAGACACAAGGATGGGGGCTGGGGACCCCCAGTCCCATGGAGACGCTCAGAGATCCCAAGAATGTGGGGTGGAGGCCAGGCCCCCCATCTCACAGACCCTCATCCTGGCAAGGGTGGGTGTCACAGCCCCCCTGGAGCCAGTCCAGTGTCCCCTCTGTGCCCAGGGACCCCCAGTCCCTCCAATGCCCCCCAGTCTGTTGGTGTCTGGTCCCCTGGGACCCCCAGGCCAGAATGGGTGCCATTCCCCTGGTGCCCTGTCACCCAGAAGTGCCAGTGTCCCCCTGTGCCCCTCAGATCTCCTCGTGTCTGTGTCCCCCCAGCATCCACAGCCCAGAGCTGTCCCAGTCCCTCTGTACCTAGTCCCCCAGATTCCCAGAAACCCTCAGAGTACGGGTGTCCCCCCAGGTGTGCTCCCTCTTCTGCCTGCTGCCCTCTGGGTGTTGGTGTCCCCTCGTTTCTCCCCCTGTGCTCGGGAGCCTGGATCCCTTCTGGTGACCCCCAACTGCTCCCCCTGCCAGTGCTCCCCTGGTGCCCCCTCTGCCCTCGGTGTGTGTCCCAGTGCTCTCCCCGGCCCCCTGCCAGTCCTTCCCTGGACACCCCACCTGTGTCCCTCTGTACCCCACCAGTGCTCCCCTGAATCCTCTCCAGTGACCCCCACCATGACACCCCAGTGTCCCCCTGGTATCTCGATGCTGCTCCCCCAAACCCTCCCGGCTGCTCGCCCAGGACCTCCCCCGTCCGGCGCCCCTCCGGCGCCCGTCCCGCTCTCCTCGGATCGCCCCCCGATGCCCCTCCGGTGCCCCCCGCGAACGCCCTACCCACGGCCCCGGATCTCCCCCGGTGCCCCCGCCCCGTGCCTCTCCCGCTCCGCCCCCGGGGACCCCACCAGCGCTCCCCCGGTACCGCACCGCTGTTCCCCCAAGCTCCGCGCTGCCGCTTCCCCGGGATCCCCCCCGGGATCCCCCCGGTCCTCCCCCCGTCACTCCGCTCGTGCCTCCGCGGCTCCCCCGGCCCCGCGCCGGTCCCTCCCGGTGTCCCCCCCGGTCACCGCCGGTGACCGCCCCCGGATCTCGCCCCGTGCCCTCCCGCGGTCCCTCGGGGGTGTCCCCCGCGCCCCTCCCCGCGCCCCCCGTGCCCGCAGCCCACTCACAGCAGGCAGAGCGCGTAGGCCCCCGCCACGCTCTCGCTGTCCCGCACCAGGAAGCTGCCGTCCCGCCCGGCCCGCGCCAGCTGCTCCTCGGCCGCCGCCCGGCTCAGGTCCCGGTGGTACCAGGGGGGCACCGGGGCCGCCCCGCCCGCGCCCCCCGCGCCCCCCGCGCCCGCCATGCTCCGCCGCCGGGGCCGCGCCGCGGGGCCGCGCTCCGACGGGGGCGGGGGGAACCGGCGGGGCGGGCACCGGGGGGAGGCGGGGAGACGGCGGGGGACGGCGACATCGGGGGACGGGCGGGGGCATCGGAGGGATGGGGGCACTGTGGGGGGGCATGGACGAGGTAACCGGGGGGGCAGGGGGGAGATCCGGGGGTGGCCGCCGGGCGTGACCGGGGGGGCTCCTGCGGGGCGGCAGCGCGAGGCCGGGGAGATGCGGAGTCACGAGCAGGCTGTCCATGGGGGCACCGGAGGGGATCGGGGGGATCCCGGGGAAGCGGCAGCGCGGAGCTTGGGGGAACAGCGGTGCGGTACCGGGGGAGCGCTGGTGGGGTCCCGGGGGGCGGAGCGGGAGAGGCACGGGACGGGGCACCGGGGGAGATCCGGGGCGTGGGTAGAGCGTTCGGGGGGTACCGGAGGGGCATCGGCAGGGGGCGGCATCCGATGGAAGGGCAGCGGCACCGAGGGGCGTAGAACACCGGGGAGTGGGCAGCACCAGCGGGGAGCACGGGAAGGATGGGGAGCATCGGGAGGTGCACCCGAGGGGAGAGCGCCGGCACCGGGGGATGGAGAGCACCGGGAGGGAAGCACCAGGGAGGGGGAGCACCACCGGGACGGGGGCACCAAGGGAGCACCGAAGGGGCGGGCGGGGGCACCGGCGGTATGAGGGCACCGGGGAGCCGCGGGCCGCGGTGGGGCAGGACCAGGGCCAGACGGTCACAAAGTGGGGGTGCGGCCCTGTTTGGCACCAGAACCAGGGACATCTCCATGGCCCGGAGGTCGGGACGGCGGCACTCCACAGCTGGGAAGAGGGGCCATGTGGAGAAGGGGCTCCTGGGGTGGGCTCCAGGCTGGTGGGACCCCCTCGACAGCTATGCCCCCACCTCGGGGTCCCCAGGATGTCCTCCCCCTTCTCCTCATCATTTCCCCAATCCTACCCTGCGCACCCTGGGGTGCCAGTGACCCCCACAGCTGTGGCAGATGCTGAGACACATTCAGCAATCCCATCCCCCTGGGCCTCAGTGGCAGGGAGCCCTGTGCCCCCTGCTTTGCCAGGCACAGTGGTTTCGGGGGGCAATGCCAGGCTGCCAGGTGGGTTGTTACAGATAAATGAGGGTGATGCCTCGCTTTGTCCCCCAAGAGAAGCAGGATCAGATGCCCTGAGTCCCCCAACCATCCTACTGCCTCCCACCGATGGACCCCTCAGCCCCACAGCACCCCAACACCAAGCAGGGCAGGAGTATTTATTCACCATCCACATGCCTGTGGGGACACAGCTTGGGGAGATCCCATGGGGGGCACAGGACAGCTTGGCAGCCCCCCTGACCACCCACTGCCCACTCCTGCCTGCAGCCTCCTGCTCAGAGCAGGGCCAGGAGTGCGGGGGGCAGCAGGGCCAGCAGGACAGGGAGTGGGGGGCTTGGGGGAGCGTTGCCACGGGCGTAATACTGGGCGACAGCGACATTGGGGTTCTCCTGTGCGGGGTCAAACCACATCTGGATGCAGCGTCCGCTGCCACGGTGGTGGGATGTGTAGCGGTAGGAGCCGGACCAGATCTGCTCGCAGAGCGCAGCCGCCGTGGGGAACACGAACTTGAACTTCTGGCACATGGCGCCCTGGGGACACTGGTTGGTGCCTGGGGTGGTCAGGGGGTGAAGTGGGTCAAGGGCTTTGGGAAGGGGGAGTGGGTCATTCCCTTGTGCGTGGTATTGGGGTCCAGATGGGTCCCACTGGCTTTGCTAGGGGAGGGGGCATTGACCTCAGGGTGGCACAGGGGCCACCACCCCATCACCCTGCACCCCGTGAGGACCCTCACCCCCCCGACCCACTCACAGGCACAGGGACCCTCACCAGGCTGCCAGCAACCCCCATAACCCCTGCCCCTTGGGGATCCTCACCCCCAGACCCACTCACAGCCACCAGGAATGAGGGACCCACAGCGGGGTCCAGCTGCTATGATGGGTGGGTCCCTCGCGCCCCCCACTCACCTGAGGTCCAGTTCCAGCCCTTGTGCCAGTTGACCTTGCAGGTGACAGCATCCTGGCAATCCTCCCACCACTGCTCACAGTCCTCCTGGCACAGCGGCACGTCCCGGATCCGCTCCTTCCGCCAGGTGTTGTCTGCCTGCAGGGCCCCCAGTTCACCCCAGTTCACCCTGAGGGTCCCGTCGAGTGGGTGAGGGGGGGTCTGCACTCACCTGGTCGATCCATGGCCCCAGGTTGGGGGAACACTCGTACAGACACGTGTCCTGGATGAAGTGGCGCTTGCACTTCTGCGGCATGGCCCCGCAGTGGTCCCAGTTGAAGTTGTACAGGTAGGACTGGTCCTCGTGGGCTTCCTGACTGGTGTTGGCAGTGCAGCAGGCATTATCCTTCCAGAGGACACACTGCACCAGGGCGGCCAGGGCTCAGCTGGGACCCACCAGGGCTCAGCTTGGACCCACTGGGGGTCCAGGGAAATCACCAGCGCCCACAGGGAGGTGACACTGGCTGATGGAGCCCATGTCGGTCCATCCTGGTGACCCCACAGCAAGTGGCACCGGTGGGTGCTGCAGCAGTGGGTAAGGACCGTACCTGCCCGTAGAGCTGCCCCTCAGGGCCAGGCTTCTCTTTGTGGTGCTTGGCGCTCATGCAGGTGTTAAGCAGCGAGTCCCGTGTCACCGTCCCGGCGGTGGCAGCTGGCCAAGCCACCAGCACCAGCAGTGCCAACGTCACCGCCATCGCTCTGCTGGGGCGGCGGGGGGGTGAGGACGGCAGAGCCGAGGCACACAGTGACAGCGGGGACAAAGTCCCACACCGCGCACACGGGAGCGTGGCAGCACGTGGGCACGGCCCGGGACCACCGACGGGGGGCTGGGGATCTTACCTGGGGGGCACCGGGAGCCAGGGCTCTTCTCTGAGGGGGTGCTGGGCTTCAGGTGCCATGGGGTGAGCGCAGCTCATCTCAAAGGTCGTGGCGCGGCACAACCCTTGGCCACTGGTCACGGGAGGTGGGGACACGGCAGGCTCGGCAGCGCTCTGGGCGCAGAGGAGACGGGGCACCGCACCCCGACACCCTGCTGTGTCCTGGGCTGACCCTCACGCCCATCCCGGCCCCCCCAAGCCCTGCGTGGAGCCAGGATTTGTCCTGCTGGCGCCAGGCTGGGGCCAGCGCCAGCCAAAATCTACCCGTGGCTGTTTTTCCGTCCCTCCCGTGGGAGGCGGCTTCATACCCTGACACCAGCTCGAGGGGCAGGACCTAGCCCCTGACACCGCACGGTCCCCGTGACTGCCCTGGGGGGTAAGAGATGGTCCCCGGGGGGGACAGGTACTCCTGTGGGGTCACAGATGACCTCAGGGTGGGGGCAGGTACCCCTCACTGACACCAGAGATACTCCCGATGGCCCTGGGGGATGTGGGCGGGTAGATACCCTGGGGGGGCGGTCATCCGTGGCTCGGAGGGGACAGAAACCCTCTAGTGTCAGATATGCCCTGGGGCGGCAGATACCCCAGAAGGGGCAGATACCTCCAGGTTCATACATGATGGGGAGGCCAGACATGTCCCTGGGGTCCCAGATGCCCTGGGTAGAGGGGCAGATACTCCTGCGTGGGTGTCAGGTACCCCGTGGGGGTCATGGATCCCACCCGCGGGTAACAGTTGTCCCCAGAGAAACAGATACCCCATGAGGATCACAAATATGCCCCCACTGGGGTCACCCCCAGCCGTGGGGGTCACATACCCACTATTAGTCACAGATACCCCAAGGGGGGCACAGGTACCCCCGTCCATGGGTAACACATGCCCTGGGGGGGGGGCAGATGCCCCGTGGGGATCACAGATACCCCATAGGGATCACACATGCCCCATAGGGGTCACAGGTACCCCATGGGGCTCACAGATTCCCCTTGAGTCACAAATACCTGTGGGGGTCACAGATACCCCTCTGGGGTCACAGATGCCCCCAGGGGTGTAACATATCCCCGGGGGGGGTGGGTCATGGATACCCCCAGGGGGTCACAGTTTCCCCCGGGGGTGTCACATATACGGGGGATGGGGGGTGTCACAGATGCCCCATTGGGGTCATAGATACCCCTGTGTGCTGTTACATATCTCCGGAGGGGCCACGGATGCCCCCGTGGGGGTCACATATCCCCGGGGGTGGTCACATATCCCCTTGTTGGGGTCACATATCCCCTGGTTGGTCACATATCCCCCTGTTGGGGTCCCCGTTGGGGTCACGGACGCCCCGGGGGGGGGTCACATATCCCCCCAGAGGTGTCACATATCCCCCCATCGGGGTCCCATGTCCCCCGTTGGAGTCACGGGTGCCCCGGGCCCGCTCGCGCGGAGGGCGGAGCCCCCGCCTGTCAATCATATCTGGCCCCGCCCCAGCCACCGTTCGTGCCGCGCGTTGTGGGTGTGGCCTCCTCGGACACCCCCCCACACACACACACCGCGCATGCGCTGCGGCCGGTTCCGGTGCGGCGCTTCCGGGTCGGGCCGGCGCGGCCGCGGAGCCCCCGCCATGGCCACTCTGTTCCCGTCGCTCCTGCCGCGCCTCACCGAGCCCCTCTGGTTCAACCTCGACCGCCCCTGCGTGGACGAGACCGAGCTGCAGCAGCAGGAGCAGCAGCACCAGGCCTGGGTGGGCACCAGGTGTGGGGAGCGGGGAGCGGGTTTGGGCCTGGGGGTCCGGGGAAGCGCCCCCCGAGCGGGCACGTCCGCGGGCCATCGCGGGTGTCCCGGGGCACGGGGCTAATGAACAGGCTGGTGCCGAACCGGGGCAACTGTAGAGCCCCCGTTATTTAACGGATCGTCTCCCGGGAGAGGCGAAGGTCTATCTCTGACCCCGGTAACTCACAACGCCCGCGCCGTGAGCGCGGTTCGGTGCGGCGGCGTCCCTCAGTGTGGGGGGGAAGACATCTGCTTGATTAAAGTTTTTAAAAAAGCAATTTCTCGGTGATTAAGTTATTATCATTAAGTAAAACAGCTTCAGTCAATTAAAACCCCAGCACCTGGGAGAGGTTCCCAGTCCCTCTGGGTGGGAGGTCCTGCACATTTTAATTGAGCTTTAATTATCTGCTGCGGGTGTGTTAGTCTGGCTGAGCAGATACCTCGAATTTGGTTTTTTTTTCTTTGATAAAAAAATAGATAAACTTAGTGTTTGAGCTTCTCATGCCACACGTGGGGACACCCCCAGTCCCCTCACTCCCAGGGTGTCCTTGCTAGGGAGTGCAGGCAGCTGCCTGCAGCCACTGTTTACTCGGCTGGGCACAGGCAGGGGGATCCCAGTGGGGGGAACAGGGCTCCTCGGGCAGCTGCCAGCTGGGAATAGCCGTGGTCAGGGAGCAGCGTGAGCCGGCAGCCGAGCGGGGAGTGCGCGGGGTGTCCCAGAGCTGCCGGGGTGCTCACCCGCCTCTCTGCCCTCCCCAGCTCCAGAGCATTGCCGAGAAGGACAACAACCTGGTGCCCATAGGAAAGCCAGCGTCCGAGGTGGGTGTGTGGGCAGGGAACTGGGGGGGTGCCGGGGGGCTGGCGGGGCCCTGGAGCTGTCGTGTCCACAGCACTACGACGAGGAGGAGGAGGAGGATGATGAAGATGATGAAGACAGCGAAGAGGACTCTGAAGATGACGAGGACATGCAGGATATGGATGAGATGAACGATTATAACGAGTCTCCTGATGACGGGGAGATCAATGAGGTAAATAGCGGGGCTGGGGGCCCCACTGCAACCCCAGAGTAGGGGATATGCAGCATGTAGGAGCCTGAGCTGAACCTCAGAGGAGTTTCTCCTCTCCTCCACCCCCCTCTCCTGGGTCCCTGCTCTGGTGGGGGATCTCGAACCTCTCTCTTTCCCAGGTGGACATGGAGGGGGCAGAGCAGGATCAGGACCAGTGGATGATCTGATTCTGCCATGACCACACCAAACTGGAGCTGGGGAGAGCCCTTGCCCCCCGTGGCTCTGGGGGGCAGGTCAGTGAAGCTCCTCCTGCCATGGGTGCTGTGTGGGGGCCTTGGAGCGGAGCCCCCCTGGGGGAGCCAGAGGGGCAGCTGTCACCCAGCACATTGGGGCTGACACGGCTTTTCTAATAAACTCAGTTTACAAGAAAACAACCCCAAATCTGGTGTCTGAGGCCACCAGGGCAGGCAGGGGCAGCCATGGGGGTGCCACGTGGGCAAGTGCAGGGCTGCTCCCCACCATGCTTCCTCGGGCCCTCTGGCAGAGCTCCCTGCAGGGACACGGGGAAGCAGCGTGGGCAGGAGCCGCTCGGGGAGCGAGTTTCCCCCAGCACCCCCCCACAGACCACAGCAGCCAGCACATTTCCTGCAGAGCCCGTGTTGCAGCCAGCGTTGCAGTCGGTGCCCGTGGCAGCGCGGGGCGGGAGCTCGTGGCCTGGTCAGCGGGCGCCGGTGTAGCGGAGCTCGGCCACGCCGTCGGGGATGGCGCGGAAGTACTCCAGGCTGGCCCGGTGCACCTTGCAGCGGTACCTGCCACAGGTCTTGGCGTACTGCAGGAAGTGGGGCGCCCCAGGGAAGAGGACGTTGTCGGCCAGGATGGTGGCCCCCTCAGCCAGCAGCTGGTGGCTCTCCAGCAGCCGCAGGTCCCGCAGGTAGCAGCGCTTCCAGTGATCCATGAAGACGAAGTCGGCCTTCATCAGGCCATGCTTCTCCCGCAGTTGGGGGATCACCTCCTCCGAGGGGCCCACGATCAGCTCCACCTGCGCCACAGCACTCTCAGCCCCTGGGGTGGTGTGTCCGGGTGCCCACCCGCCACCCTGCTTCACAGAGTGATGAGGGGTCCATGTGGGAAAGAATCCTTCTCTTCCCACAGATACCTCCCAGCAGGTGCCACGGTCCCTGCCCGTCTCCCCCCAGTATCAGGCGCAGAGCCTTTGCCCCAGTGCCCGGGCGCTCACCGTGTGCTCGTCGAAGCCGGCCAGGCGGATGACCTTCTCGGCCACGGCGGCGTGCTGAGGGTTCCCCTCCACGGTGTAGAGACGGGCGCCCGGGGGCAGCCCCTGTGCCAGCAGCACGGTGCCGTACCCGCAGTAGGTGCCCAGCTCCAGCACCCACAGTGGTGCCCGCTCCAGCAGCAGCCGCTCCACGATCCGCCCTGACACGGTACGTGTCTGTCAGCACCCGTACCAACAACTGCAGCCGTGCCAGCGGGGCCGTGACCGCACCAGCACCATCACGGCCGTAGCAATGGTGCCGTGGCTGTGCCAGTGGTGCTGTGGCCATGCCTGGTGCGGCCTGCGTGGGCGAGGGTGGCACTCACCTTTGGCAGGCCCCACACAGCTGAGGTGCTCGCAGTGGTAGCACCACTGGTCGAAGGTCTGCAGGATGTGGTGGGGGTCCCCGGGGATGGCGTGGGCCAGCAGGTACTGGAAGGCGCGCTGTTCCCGCGTGGTGCCGGTGAGCCGGTCCCGCAGCCAGGCCACCAGCACGGCCCGGTACAGCAGCACCAGGTAGTGCCGGTACCGGATCAGCAGGGTGACGAGGAAGGGGAGGAAGGCCAGTGCGATCGCGGGAGACACCATCACAGGGGAGCGAGGCTGGGGAAAGAGCCCCCACCCGGGGGATGTGGGAGTGGGGGTCCTCCCAGGGTGCAGCCCCACAGCTCCCACTCATGCTACAAGTTGGCTGTGCTCTGCACACCCTGCAGACGTCTCTGCCTGGGCTCTGGTGCTGCTGGGCCTGCGGGGCTGAGTCACCCTGGGATGCTCTGGGGGTCCCTGTGCCAGGTCTGAGGGGTGTTGGGGTCCCAATATTGGAGTCTGCAGGACTGGTGTTGTGGGCGGCGTTGGGCTGCTCTAAGGGGCACTGTACAACACAGCCCCTCGTACCCCTCCTTGGCCCAGCTTTGCTGCCCTCACCCCCCATATTCTGCCCCACAGCCCGCTCCCCACACCCTGAGCTGTTGGGGGTCCCCAGACACAGCAAGAGGACAGGGCCATGGGGGTGGCACCTACCTGTCCCCACACTCCAGGTAGGCAGAGGCAGGCACTCCTGTGTGGGGCCCTGCTGCCACTCAATTATTGATGGTGTCACCTTAGCTGCAGCCACCACTGGCTCGGGTTACCAGCTCATTGGGGCCAGGGCCGGGCTGGGGCTGTGGGGCTGCAGGAGCAAGCTTGGGCCTGGGATGCTGATACAGTGTCAGCTGGGGTCCTGACACTCTTGTCTGGGGTGCCAGTACTGGGGTTGGGGTCCCCAAACTGGGGGCTGTGGCCCCAGTACTGGCATGCTGATACTGGCAGTTGTAGTCCTGATACGGGAGCTGGAGTCCTGTCACTGGGTCTGGGGCCTGATACTGAAGCTGGGGGGCCCCAACACTGGGGTTGGGATCCTGAAACTGGAGCTGAGGTTCTGAGACTGGGGCTGGGAGCACAGGGAGCAGCATAATCAGTGGAAGCACCGTGGCATTGGGAACACGGGTGTACTAGGAGCATGGGAACACTGGGAGCACGGGGGCACTGGGAACACTAGGAACAGCGGCAACGGGGGCACTGAGAACACTGGGAACACTGGGACCATGGGAACACTGGGAACATAGGGGCATAGGGAACAGTGGAAGCACTGAGGACACTGGGAACACTAGGATCAGCGGGAGCACTGGGAGCGCTAACGACAGCGGCAACACGGGGGCACTGAGAACACCGGGAACGCAGGGAACGCTCGGAGCACCGGGAGCACCGGAAGCGACCGGGGGGGGGGGCACTGGCAGGCCGGGGGGAGAGGGAAACCAGGGGACCACGGGCACCGCGGCAGGCAAGGGGGGGGG